TGATATAGCCCTACTCAACAAAGCCTTCTCTAAACACTATAGTACTCTTTGTATAAAAGTTGCCAGACTGGGAATCAGGCAAGACTTGGGTTTAAACCATATCTCAGATGTATGCTAATGGGCAAGTTGCTTAACTTCTCTGAACTTCTGTTTGCTCATCTGTACAAAAGAAATCATGATATTTGTAGTGCTTACCTCACCGGGTTGTTGTGAAGAACAAATGAAGAAATCTATATCAAGCACCTTCCAAGACTTAAAGTGTTAAACCAATGTCACATAGCATTGGACTCAACCCTCATGCAATTTAACTACTGGGTTATAAGATGTGAAAATTCCAGGGCATAAATATTTCACTTTTGTAATCAATTTCCCTAAGTTGGGTGGGGAATCTTATTGCTTAAGCACAGCATTAACCTTTTGGGCTCTGGATCTCATTGTGAGTATTTAATTCTGCTGCTCTTTTGTAGTCCTCTTCTGCTGTTCATGTGTTTTTACTAGCCAAATATGGATTACAAAATTCTAGCAGTACATTTTAAGAATGATTCCAAATCTGGCATTCAGAGGATTTTCCCTGTTGACACACACACAGATTGTATTAATGCACTGGAAGAAAGATCAAATGTAGCCAAGACTACAACTACACAAGCATACTTATGGAAAAACCTGAGATACGTGGCTGCCCACTGTGCATGCAAGCTCATGGATATGTGCTTCTTTTACATACTTCCCAAGGGTCTTATGAACTAAAGATCTTTTAGGTTTGGCAATAGTGAATCTTGGCACTTTGAACTCAACAATTCACCGTCTCACAGGTCTCATAAGAAAGCACAACAGCTATAATAGGTGAAGCCTCTTTAAACCAGTGGAGAAACTTTTAAAATTAAAATTCCAATTCAAATTTATAGTCCATTTCTTTCAGGATCTTCTCTACAAATGTTATTCAGAGAAGACACTGTTCTCTCTGCCATATCAGTAGGCTTTTCAAGTGAAATGGCCCTGGAAGAGGACTGATAAATGTTAAAATTAAAATCACAATTAATTAGGTACCCTATTAGTATATGTTCTTGCCAAGGACTAGTCAGGGTATATAGGGATTTTATTGCAGTAGTTCTTTAGGGTAGAGATTCTTTTCATTTATGTCTTTATATCTACCAAACCTGATATAGTGTCTGACACATGGTAGGTACTTAATAAATGCTTGATGAATTGACTTGCATTATCTTTTTGGTCAGAGCCAAAGAGCCAGAGGTTGGACATTTGTCTGATTCTTATAAACTCTACATTGTTCTGCCATTAGTGACCTATGGAGGAGACCTTGGTGACTTCTATGACCTTCTTTCTGTGCCCTACAATACTCAGATTTCCTTACAGTCAAGTTGAAAGTTACTGAAAGCTCATCTACCACTAATAAGGAAGAAAGTTCTTGATTCTGGTAACCATAGTTATCATTGTCTTTTCCCATCTTAAGCTTGTTCTCTTCCATCTTACCTCCAGGTAAGGGCACATAGCCTTTAAAAGCTACTTGTTCATGGGAGATGAAGGACTACAGCACCATGAATCTGAAATCCTGTCATATACTTCCTATTTTTAAAAGACTGCCTTCTAAATGGGGCAGCTAGTCTGTTTCCTGAAATTATATCCTTCTTTGCCACATAAATGAGTACAGTTTTGTATCTCAGGGGTAGAAGCATGATTCCACACACCTTAACATGTAAGTAGCAACTGTACAGATAACATATAAACCATGGGCAAAGCACATATAGGAAAAGGATACAAAAGTAGTGATAAAGGGGGAATAGCACTCCTAGACCTCAAACCATATTATAAAGTCACAGTTATCAAATTCAGCTGGTTTTGGTTAAAAATAGAGAGATACATAAATGGACAGACTAGAAAGGGCAGAAAAGAAACAACAGAATTTAATAACAGTGTTTGATGAAGTAGAAAAAATAAATTACTTAGGAAAAATAAAAACTCCTTGTTTGATAAAAACTACTCGGAAAATTTAAAAGCAGTCTGGCAGAAATTAGGTTTAGATCAACATCTTACATCATATTCCACAATATATTCAAATGGATATGTGACATTAATATTAAAGATCATGCTATTAAAATATTAGAAGAGAAGCAGATCATATGCATCCCACAGCTATGAGTAGATGTATCCTTAACCAAAGAAGAGATAGAGGCAGATACAAAATATAAAGTAGATAACTTTGATTGCATGAAACTAAAAAGCTTCTGCAGAGACAAAATTAATACATTTAGGATAAGATAAGAAAAGGTTGAATGGGGAAAAAATCTTCATATAAAATTTCTCTAATAAGGACTTGGCATCTTAGATAATAAATATTTATAAGATTAATAGCCATTCCCCAAAAGTTAAGTGGTCAAATGACATGAACAGTTCTCAAAAGAACTGCAAAGTATTCACAAGCCAAATGAAAGAATGTTCCATATCATTAATAATAAAAGAAATATAAATCAAAATAATGTGAGATTTCACCTCATATCCTGCAAATTAGCAAAGATGACAAAAATGGCAATAGTCAATGTTAAAAGATTTGTGGAATGATAAGAACACCAATATATTTTGGTGGAGCTATGAAATGACAATGATTTTGGAAAGCAATTTGGACTTATGTAAATAGAGTGACTAAAATGTCTATATCATTTGTTCTACAGACCCTATTACTGGACTCAATCTCCAAAGAAGTCATTGATAAGAAGAAAGTCCCCATATACACCACAATATTTGTAGCTGCATTTGTTGTGGTAGAAAAGAATTGGAAACAAAGTAGATGTTTAATGATTAGGGAATGGCTAAACCAATTATGGCATATGAAGGTAATGGAAGATTACTGTGCTATAAAAAGTGATGTATATCATGAATACAGAGAATGATGGAAGAATCTATGTGAACTGGTGCAAGTGAAGCAAACAAAACTCCAAAAAGTCAATATACCCACTGATTACAAAAATGTAAATGGAGAAAACACTAAAAACTAAAAAAAAATCAATAGTAAATGTAACAAAATTATAAATGTCAAACATGACTTGAAAGATGAGATATGAGAGGACATTCCCAATTCACCCTTTTGGTGGAGGTTGGAGATCCACAGGTGCTGTACATTGTACATGTTTTCAGACTTTTTTCAGTATTTTGATCAGTTGTGCTTATTTTTTCCTCTTAATTTTTTTAAACTTTTTTTTCTTATATGAGGCAGTTGGGGTTAAGTGACTTGCCCAGAGTCACACAGCTAGTGAGTGTTATGTTTCTGAGGTTGCATTTTAACTCAGGTCCTCCTGACTCCAGGGCCAGTGCTCTATCCACTGCACCACCTAGCTGCCCCATTTTTTTTTAAACTTTTAAAAAATGTATTTTTTATTTGGGATGACGCTCTGAAAGGGGGGAGGAGGGATATGCTGGGGAAAACTTGTTGAACAGTTGTTCAGTCATGTAAGACTCTTCATGATCCTATAGAGCAGAGCAAGCCATTACTGTCCATGGTGTTTTCTTGATAAAAATACTGGATGGGGTTTTCCATTTCCTTCTCCAGTGTTTTAAGGCAAACAGAGGTTAAGTGATTTGCCCAGAGTCACTCAGCTAGCTAGTAAGTATCTGAGGGTTAGAGTTAGAATTCAGATCTTCCAGACTCCAGGCCCAGAATTCTATTCACTGATCTACCTAGCTTCCAAAAGACATCAACAAAAATTTAATTTAATTCAAAGATAAGAAAAAGGACACAAGGAAACATGAGTTTTTCAGGACTTCACAAGACCCAAGCAGTTAGTACTAACACTGCTTTCTTCTCAGGAGGACAATAGGAGGTGAAGCTGTTTTCAAACACAATAAACATATATTTTCAAACAATTATGCATCTCTGAATGCAATTAAGAGTAAGCTGGATTAGGGTACAAATAAGATTGGTGGAACTCCTTTCTTCTGAGGGATTATGCTTGTAAACTCATCAGTCAATTTCTGCCAATATTTTCTCCCTCTTTCCTCTGCAGGAATGGTCCACTTTGGACCAAGTGAATCAGAAGAATTTGGATAATGGAAAAGAGAAAGTGCATTCTAGGTCAGAGGCACAGCATAAATTTAAGGGGGGAAAATCTCTTACATGTTTGTTTCATGAGAAAAAAGAATACACTACTCTAATATGGATATTAACCCTAAAATAAAATAAAAGACTCCACATAAATTGAAATTTAAAATTGGAAGTGATTTTGTATACCTTCCAAACTCCTAATACCTAGAACATGTCTATTATTCTCCAAGGTTCTGTCCTAGTTACCTTCTCTTCTCTATATACTCTTTCTCTCAGTAACCTCATCAGCTCCCATGGGTTTAACTGTCATTTTCATGCAGATGTCTTACTTAGTTCCTTTCTTTCCCCTGAGCTTTAGTCCTTCATCACCTAATGCTTAATGATTCTTTCAATCTGGCTTTTCCAAACACATCTCAAACTTAATACATCCAAGGCTAACCTCAGTAATTTTTCCTCCAAGCCTGACCCTCTCCCAAACTTCCCCATTTCTTTCAAAAGCACCACCTTCTCTCCAGTCTCCCAGGATCTTGTACTCTGCATTTTCTTTGATTCTACACTCTCCCTTTACTCTACCTATCTAATCAGTTTTCACATTTTGCTATTTCTGCCTTGATTTCTTGCATATAACTCCTCTCTACTCACAGAACTATTACCTTAATTTATGCCTTTCTTGTCCCTTGCTTAGATTATTGCAACAACCTCCTAATTGATCTCCTTGGCAAGTCTTTCTCCATTCCATCCATTCTACACACAACTGCCAATTAAGGATAGCTGCAATTTCTCCAATTAGAATAAACTAAAATATGAATCATACAGATCTTCCTCATGAATTTGCTGCTATTGTCATTGTTAAAATTAAACAATTTATTATGTTACGGGAACTTTAAAGAATGTCCTGATTACTTAATATGGAGGCACGCTCCTCCTGGGAGAAGACATTCAGCATTACCTTGCCATGTGGGTAGGTGCAGCCTCTTTTGTTTGGTTGGGCAGCCAGGACAAGTTGCATCTTTAAAAAAAAAAAAAAAAAACTTCTATTCATTTCCAACTGGTTTCAGAGAGAGTAAAGGTCACAATTCACCCACAATGTGGGAACCATGAACTCACTGAGTTAGGGAAAAAGACTACCTTTTCACTCTCTCCCCCTTTCCCTGGGAATTGTGTTTTTGCTTTGTTTCTGGTATCATTTTTGGTTCCAGGTTCACGTGGTGCAGTCTTTACTGGACCTGATAGTTGGAGCTATGACAACTTTAAGTTAAAACTGCATGAAGACTTTTGGGAACCCTGTTTTATGGCACAGTGACCTAAAAAGGGTCTTGGGAAAATCATGTAATCTATCTTTCTAATTTTATAGACAAGAAAGCTGAGACCCAAATTAGGAATATGGTTTGCCCCAAGTCACATATCTAGTAGCACAATTTGGGTATCAATACAATTTTCTGATTGCGAGCCATTATAAAGCAGTTGGTACAGGCAAAAGCAATTGGTTTTGAATGACAAAATTGGTCACCTTCTCCAGCCTTTTGACCTGGCTCCTAGATTACCTGGGGTATAATTCTACCTGCTCCTGCTTTCTGTGAAAAAACTTACTGATGACTGACCTGATACAGAAACAACACTTATCATAAGGTTGAGACGTTAGGGATGACCTTGAATTTTATGATCCCCTACTTGCTTCAGGACTCTTTACCCAATGAAACTCTGACTCATCTCTTTCCTCTTTTTCCCACCTCCTTTTACTTTTGCCATAGTAGAACACCTCTCCTTCACCTTAGCCCCCTCATTTACTCATTCCCATCTAGTCAACCTTAATAGCTTAACCCCAAAGTCACACTTCTCTGCTCTCCTTTGAATACCTTCTCTATATTGGTGATCTTCCTCTTTTCTAAAAACTCTTCCTCTCGCTCTCTTTATCTTTTCTCATTTATTGCTCCCTCCAGACAACACTGTATCCCTGGCCCCATTTCCAGTACTGATTGTACTTGATCTCCTACCTCTTAATTCACTGTCCGTAGAGAGTCAGAATGGCCCTCGCTTCACATTGCTACTTCTAGGCACTCCCTCTGTTGCCACCTCTCAGTGTACTCTACTCCTTTGAGTTTGATATTATAGAAATTTATTAGGGGCAGAGCAAAGATGATGGAAAGAAGCCAGGAAGTTGCCTGAGCTCTCACCAGTTTCCCTTAGAAATAGTGATAAGCCTTTAAATAGATTCTGGAGCAACAGAACCCACAAAAAGACAGAATGAAACTATTTTCCAGCTTAATATTACTTTGAAGGACTTCAGGAAAGGCCTGTCTCACTTAGATAAAAGGGGAGGGCAACCCAGCACAGACGGTGTCTAGGTTCTTAGCTACCCACAACTGAGGCCCCAAGGCCCTGATTCAGAAGGCTAGTGGCACAGCAGGCCAGCTGGGAGGCCTCTGGCCCCAGTACCCTGGCACAATAAGTGCAACTAGTTCAGGCCTTCCCCCAGTATGGTAGACCTTCCCCCAAGCTACAAGCCCCATTGGGCCCCTTGGCCCCAACAAAAGATTCTTGTGACAGTGTCCCCTGTGCCCAGGAGCAGAGCTCAACTCAAAAAGTCACAAAATAGGTTTTGAAATTAGCAAAAAAAGAAAAAAAAAGAAAGAAAGAAAGAAAAGAAAAGAAAAAACACATGCACAGAAAAGAGCTCTGAATGTAGAAATCTACTATGGTGATAGGAAAGATCAAAACACAAACTTAGAAGAGGACAACAATGTCAAAATGCCTACATGTGAATCCTCAAAGGGGAATATGAATTGGTCTCAAGTCCAAAAAACCTTCTTAGAAGAGCTCAAAAAAGATCTAAGTTATTTATTAATTATTAAATATCAATAAAAAATTTAATTATTAAATATCAATTAATAAATGTATTTAATATAATTAATAAAATTAATTATTTAATATTAATTAATAAAAATTAATTATTAAATACTAATTAAATTAATTTTAAAAATCAAGTAAGAGAGGTAGAAGAAAAATTGGGAAAAGAAATGAGAATTATGCAAGACAGAGTTAACAGCTTAGAAAAGGAAGGACAAAAATTGACTGAAGAAAACAATTCCTTAAAAAATACAATTGTCCAAATGGGAAAAAAAAAATCCACTGAAGAAAATAACTCCTTAAAAAGTAGAATTGGCCAAATGGAAAAGGAGGTACAAAAGCTAATTGAAGAAAATAATTCCTTAAAAATTAGAATTCAGCAAGTGGAAGCTAATTACTCCATAAGACATCAAGAATCAGTTAAACAAAATCAAAAGAATGGAAAAAATAGAAGAAAATGTAAATAATCTCATTGGAAAAAATAAATGGCCTGGAAAATAGATCCAGGATGGATAATTTAAGAATCATTGGATTACCTGAAAGCCATGATTAAAAAAAAAAAAGCCTGGACATCATCTTTCAACAAATTATCAAGGAAAACTGCCTTGAGAATCAGAAAGTAAAATAGTCATTGAAAGAATCCACAATCCACCAATCACCTCCTGAAAGAGATCCCAAAATGAGAATTTCAAGGAACACTGTAACCAAATTCCAGAACTATCAGGTAAAGAATATGCAAGAAGCCAAAAAGAAACTGTTCAAATATCAAGGAGCCACAGTCAGGATTACATAGGACTTAGTAGCTTCTATATTAAAGGATTGGAGGGGTTGGAATATAATATTCCAAAAAGCAAAGGAACTTGGATTACAACCAAGAATCAACTATCCAGCAAAATTGAGCATAATCATTCAGTGTAAAATCGATGGATATTCAATGAAATAAGTGACTGCCAAACTTTCCTGATGAAAAGACCAGGGCTGAACAGAAAATTTGATTTTCAAATACAAGACTTAAACATTAAAAGGTAAACAGAAAAAAAAACCATGTTATCCACCTGTTTACATCTCTACATGGGAAGATATTTGTCAGCTCTTGACAGCTGTATCTCTATTAGTGAAGTTAGAAAGAGAATACCTAGACAGAGAATGTGGGTAAAATTGACTTTTATGTGATAATATTAAAAAAAAAAAACAAGGGGTGAAAAAAGGGTTTCACTGGGAGAATAGGAAAGGGGGAGGCAGAATAGAGTAAATTACATCTCATGAAGAGGCACAAAAGACCCATTACGGTAAAGGGGAAAAAAGGTAGGGGTAAGCATTGTTTGAACCTAACTCTCATTGGATTTGGCTCAAAGGGGGAACAACATACACAGTTGGGTATAGAAATGTGTCTTACTCCATAGAGAAGTAGGAGAGGAAAGGGGAAAGAAAAGAGAGGGAAACTGAGAAAAGGGAGGGAAGATTGAGGGAGGCAGTGGTCAGAAGCAAAATACTGGTGAAGAATGAAAGGGGGGAAAGAGAGAGAAAAGTATAAATGGGGGAAAATAGGATGGAGGGAAATACATAGTTAGTATTCAAAACTTTAATGTGAATGGGATGAACTCTCCCATAAAATGGAAGGGGATAGGAGAATGGATTGAAAAGAAGAGTCCTACAATATGTTGTTTACAAGAAATACATTTGAAGCAGATAGATACATGTGGAGAAAAGGTAAAAAGCTGGAGCAGAATGCATTATGCTTCACATGGAGTAAAAAAAAGGCAGGAATAGCAATTCTGATCTCAGATAATGCAAAATCAAAAATAGATATCATTAAAAGAGATAAGGAAGGAAATTACATCTTGCTAAAAGGTACATTGACAATGAAGTAGTATCAATACTAAACATACATGCACCAAGTGGTTTAGCACCCACATTTGTAAAGGAGAAGTTAAGTGAGTTACAGGAAGAAATAGACATTTAAATTATAGTAGTGGGGGACCTCAAATTCCCCCTCTCAGAACTAAATAAGTCTATCCAGATAACAACCAAGAAAGAAGTTAAGGATGTGAATAGAATTTTAGAACAGTTAGATGTGATAGACCTCCGGAGAAAACTAAATGGGGATAGAAAGGAATATACCTTTTTCTCAGCAGTACATGGCACCTACACAAAAGTTCACCATATATTAGGGCATAAAAATCACAATCACAATCCAATGCAGAAAGGCAGAAATATTAAATGCATCATTTTCAAATCATGAAGCAATAAAAATATGTGTAATAAAGGGCATGGAAAGATAGACTAAAATTAATTGGAAACTAAATAATCTAATCCTAAAGAATAAGTGGGTCAAACAACAAATCATAGAAACAATAACTTCATACAAGAGAATGACAATAATGAGACAGCAAAGTAAAACTTATGGGATGCAGTGAAAGTGGTTCTTAAGGGAATTTTTATATCTCTAAATGCTTGCATGAATAAAATAGAGAAAGAAGAGATCAATGAATTAGGCATGCAACTAAAAAAAGCTAGAAAAAGAACAAATTAAAAATCCCCAATTAAATACGAAATTGGAAATTCTGAAAATCAAAGGAGAGATTAATGTAATTGGAAGTAAGAGAACTATTGAACTAATAAATAAAACTAAGAGCTGGTTTTATGAGAAAAAAACAATAAAATAGACAATCCTTTGGTTAATTTGATTTAAAAAAAAAAGAAAGAGGTGAACTCACCACCAATGAAGAAGAAATTAAACCAATAATTAGGAGTTATTTTGTCCAACTGTATACCAACAAATCTGACAATTTAACTGAAATGGATGAATATTTATAAGAAGTTGCCCAGATTAACTGAAGAGTAAATGAAATACTTAAATAATCCCATTTCAGAAAAAGAAATTGAACAATCCATCAAAGAAATCCCTAAGAAAGAATATCCAGAGCCAGATGGATTTACAAATAAATTCCATTAAACATTTAAAGAAAAATTAATTCCAATACTTTATAAAATATTTGGAAAAATAGATGAAGAATTCCTACCAAATTCCTTTTATGACACACATATGGAGCAGATACCTAAATCATAAAGTGCCAAAGCAGAGGAAGCAAATTATAGGCCAATTTCCCTAGTGAATATTGATGCAAACGTTTTAAATAAAATATTAACAAAGAGATTACAGCAATTTATCATGAGGATAATAACATTATGACCGGGTGGGATTTATACCAAGAATGCAGAGCTGGATCAATATTAGGGAAAGTATCAGCATCATTGACCATATCAATAACAAAATGAACAGAAATAATATGATTATCTCAATAGGTGCAGAAAAATCTTTTGACAAAACACAACACACATTCCTATTAAAAAACACTAGAGAGCATACGAATAAATGGAGTTTTCCTTAAAATGATAAGTGTTATCTATCTTTAATCATCAGCAAGCATTATCTGTTATGGGGATAAGCTAGAAGCTTTCAACATAAGATCAGGGGTAAAACAAAGAAGACCAGTATCATCACTGTTATTCAGTATTGTACTACAAATGTCAGCTTTAGCAACAAAAGAAGAAAAAAATGGAAAAAATAGACTAGGCAATGAGGAAACAAAACTTTCACTCTTTGCAGATAGATGATATGATGGTATACTTAGAAAATCCTAGAAAATTAACTAAAAAGAAACTACTTGCAACAATTAATAACTTTAGCAAAGTTGCAAGATATAAAATAAATGCACATAAACAGCATTTCTAAATATTATCAACAAGACTCTTCTGTAAGAGATAGAAATAGAAATTGGATTTGAAATAGCTGCAAACAATATAAAACATTTGGGAGTCTACCTGCCAAGACAAACCCAGGAATTATATGAGCACAATTATAAAATCATTTTCACAGAAAGTCAGTTCTAAACAATTGGAAAAATATCAATTGCTTGTGGGTAGGCCAAGCTAACATAATAAAAATGACAATTTGCTTATTCAGTGCCAAACCAATTAAACTACCAAATTTATTTTATAGAACTTGAAAAAATAATAGCAAAATTCATCTGGAAGAATGAAATGTCAAGAATATCAAGGGAATTAATGAAAAAAATGCAAAGGAAGGTAGCGTAGCCATACCATATTTAAAACTATATTATAAAGGGAGAATCATCAAAGCTATTTGGTACTAAGAAATAGAGTGGTGGATCAGTGGGATAGGTTAGGTACACAAAACACAATAGTAGATGATCATAGCAATTTATTTGTTTGGTT